TTAAAGACTTTACAGCATTTTGTTAAAGACTTTACACTGGAAGTCGTGTTCAGAAACCTGTGGATTTGAAACTTGCTACATCTTTCTTTTTTATATTTTCTCATTATTTCAACATTTCTTTGTCTTTCAGCTCCTCCTCCATCGTCTTCAGCTCCGCCTACAACCTTCGTGTCACTTCCTGTCTTCAGAGTGATGTGCCACCTGGCTGTGGGAACTCCTTACCTGCTGTCCACCGTCTTACTGGGACTCATTTACAGAGACAGGAAACGAGGTGCGTCTTTACTCTTCTGTGGGTTCACACGACTCTCGTGTTTCTGAAGAATCAGACAAGATGCACCGTCACCCAACAAGGTTATTCTCTGCACACTTTAAATTAAATTACATTTCATATCTTCTGCCCAGTTTAAACCAGTACAACATTTTGACAAACATCTTGGAGGAAGAAATAAAAAGTCAAAACAGTCAGGCGTCATCAGCGTAAATGATGATTTTACACAGTCTGGAGCAAAATCAGGTTCAGGGTCACTACAAATAACACATCAACCACAAACACATTTAAATTTTACTTAATAAAAATCCATGATGATGATTATAATAGTGTATTTTACCCTCCTGGATCAAAGTAACCAACGAGGAATTGAATGTATAAAATATTTATTGAGCCAAATTTAAAAATAATATTTTTCTGAGAGTCTGTCTCTTAAACTGAAGGAAACATAATAAATGAGAAGTGTTCGTTAACACCACGTCCTCTTCAGCTCCATATCCAACATTTATTAAACTCGGCCGCATCAACGTTCACTGTTCAAATATTATAGACTATTTTCTACAATACATTATGTATTTATTACAGCAAAACTTGAACATAATCTATAAAGAAGTTAATATATGATCATTGGAATTTTACATATTGGATCCAAAATGTAATGCTGGATCATTTTCCTCAATAAATCAATAAAGTTTAATGTTTAACTGGGTTCTCTTTATCTACTTTTAGGACTTTGATGTTTTACATTTATGCAGAAATGTAGAAAATTATAAAGCGTTCACAAACTTTCAGTCACGACTGTAACGAAGCAGAAGACAAATATGATAATTTATTATTTTTAATTGTGTAAACAAACACACCTGGACAGGTAAACTTCTCCTTGTCCCCCATCGTGGAGCGAAGACTGGAACTTGAAATGTCTTCTGTGCGTCCATCTTGTGAACTGGATAACTAAAAAAGAATTAAGGTATCGACTTCCACTTCGGTGTGTGGCTGCATGTAGGCGTAAGGAAGGTTCTTACTGAACATTGGGTTGCCAGGTCATAATCCAACATGGCCACCACCATATATGTGCGTGAACTGGACACACTATCATTTGAAAAAAATTCTAGTTTTGATTTTGCTTAAAAGTCTAGTTTCCTGAAATAGTTGTAGTGGCTTGTGGTGGCTGATGAATAATCTACGAAGGGCGACGCCACCACTGGGCACCCCCTGGCTCCTCCACTGCACCTGGTGGTGATTACATGCCTCCCTTGGTGCGCCCGGATCTGTCAATCTGCTCGGCCTCGGACAAGAAAAAACTCTGTTTTCTCCACAACGTAACTCCTGTTGAATATGTTGAATAAAAACATTTAGGTTTGCTTCATTCTCTGTTCAGCTCCAGTGGAGAAAAACACTCACCGGTAAAACTACAGACCTTGACTGTTCAAACCTTCAACAACAGGGGGCATGAGCTTGTTATTTACGGAACAAACATTTTATTTGTTTCTCTGTTGTAAAGATGCATTCATGGTCACACAGATCCAGTCAGAAACTGCAGCTCCACTGTGATCAACGTATTATACATTCACTTTGTGGTAATTGTACCTAAACAACCGTAATGTTTGGATTAAAAGGTTTTTTACACCAGAGGATCCTTTTGATCAAAACGTTTCATGATAATTTGGTTTTTATAAAACATTTGGTGAATTTATCTCTGGTGTTTGTGTTTCTCCTCGCAGCTGCTCAGATGGTCGCAGAGCAAAGACACAGACAGGAAGTCGTCATGGAAACGCTGGTTTGAATTTCCTGCAACACGTCTGGTTTTAAAAGAATCGTTTGACTTCAGAGAAACCTGCACCTGGTCGGGATCCTGAGAGAAGATCTGAGTTTTCATGGCGCGTCTTCATCGTGATCCTGGTTTGGTTTTTGACCCTGGAGCAGATTTCAGAGACGAGTCGTCGGTGCTGATGGTGAGCAGGAAGTGGAGGCAGAAACAGGAAGTGGAGGCAGAAACAGGAAGTGGAGGCAGCACCGGTGGACTCAGATGGAGGTGTTTGTGGGTTTGGGTCGTTGTCAGCAGAAATGTGTCCATCCTGAGGTGGTTTGTTGTTTTTCTGTTTTCCACTCGACATCTACCAGAACCTGATGTGAGCTGCACCAGGACGTTGGTTTTCTGTTCCACTTCGAACGTCTGCGTGGCTGGATCAGCCTCTGCGGGTGACGGCCAGCTGCGGTCGGTTTATCAGAATTAAAACCAGGTTGTTTCTCAGAAGACAGGACGCTGTGCCACTTTTTAAACCACCGACAGATCAGAAGCTGGAATAAAACCATCACGTACAACGAGCTTTCCACAGATTAAGTTCACTTTGAAATGAGAAAGGACATTTATTTTATATTAGAGGAACTGCTGTGATTTGGTGTCGAGTGAAGTTTCTTTCTGCTGCGTTTTGTGACGAAAAGGTTTATTTTTATTCCTGAATGAGTGACCGGACGTCTCCTGACGTTAGCTGGTGTGGCGCTGCAAAGAAAGTCATGTCCGTGCACTAAAATCAAAATGCATCCAACATTATTTAAACCTTGTTTATTTGATTTCACGACAGCTTTAATCGTGAAATAAAGGAGCAGAAGAATGTTGAACCTGGTCGATACAAATGTTCAAAAAAGCTTAAAACATATCTAAGTTCAATTAAACCTAAAAACAATTCAACGGGACAAAAGTAAAGTAATTTCAAGTTTACAAAATACAAGCCAATCAAAGCTTAGAATTAATTAAAAAAAACATGTTTTAAGAGAAAATTTAAAATTATCAATACTTGGGCGGCACAGTGGTCAGTGAGTAGAGCTGTTGCCTCTCAGTGAGAAGGTCGCCGGTTCAATTCCTGGCCCAGAACCTTTCTGGGTGTAGTTTGCATGTTCTCGCCGTGCTACGTGGGTTTTCATTCATTCATTTCAATGCATTCTGGGTAAAAGATGTTAACTGGTGAC